TGAAATCTTTTATTAAAATCCGCTATTTTGTTTTGTTTAGAATTTTAATGTATCTAGTATCACTCGCACCGCTAAGACGAATCCAACGAAACTTCATATGTGAAACTCCGTCCAACCGTTTGGCCTGTAGGTGAAAATATGCACGTTATCCGTATCAACCCAAATGATAATCACTCTCCGCGTGACGTCATGTACGCCGGCGGACTAAAATCGAACAGCTGAGGATCCGGCACTGATATGTAGTCAGCATCTAAACGCGGTTGTTTGTTTGCAAACGTAGACACGTATAAGATTCTTCGGATGAGCGCATGTTGTAACCGCCAAAAAGCGTGAAAAGAACAGAATCTGAGTAGCAATCCTTTACCTGAGTTAGTAAAAACCTTTGCAATTGACGCAGAAACCACTTCTATGATACGTCTATGATGCATACAGGAGTCGCTAAGCAACTGCACCTCCCGGTACAAAATTTTCTTGGCATAAGGGAAAGTTACGGATCTCCAACTTTACGGATTGCCACATCAAATTTCCAAGATTAATTAGGGTGAGAACGACCTAAATGTATCTCGAAGTATGAAGTAAAGGGAGTGCTGTTCCATTTTCATATACCTAATTCATAACTAACACACATGTTTCCAAAAAGGTTTCGTCATTTAGATGTGCCGACTCGTCGTGACTTACAGATTACATATGCTTTATCGCTCTCCCTTATTTGTTAAAATGCTTTCTAATAATTTCAACGAGAGATGTTGATCAAGACACATTACTGATGGATATTATTTGATGATTGAAATCCTCATCTCAGGGCGACAACATTTTCGCTTTGTGAATTATAAAATTTCAGTGGAGTACTGGAAAAAGTTTAGAACCTCTGGATTTTGTATAACTCAATCAAATAGTTAGTAGTTAATAACCACATTCCAAATCTGTCCAGTATCTTTTGAAGTCTTTGAGAAACATATTCTCTAAAAATAATTTTACGCGATATATTTTTTTTTGGAAATGAAATACATTTTATGCTTTCATAATGAGTGTTAGGAAACCATTTTACGACTCACGTTATCAAGATATCTCTGGACCAATACCGCCTAAAGACAGCCTTCGCGGGCAAAAAGCACCTGCGAAAAGTATGATTATAAAAACTGACGTTTTTCGTAAGACCTGTAAATTGTTCTCTAGCTGATTAGTGTGGGTGATTGCACTATTCAGTTTAGTATCAAAAGAGTGTTGTCAGTTAGAAATCCAAATTTTTTCTAACACTAAGAGCTCTGCAAATTCTGCCTTAGTGATGTTACTAGTGCCTGAAATCTCTCAACTGGATAATCGATCAATCCATTTTTGATTTGGTTAACGACCAACAGGAAAGAACTAAACACATTACTTCACACGAAGAGCTAATAATGCTTTTCCTACGCATATCTATATTATTGTTATTAATTATTTATAGTACTAAAGGACGATATTAAAGCCATTACTATATCAGACACACATATGAATACTAGTGATGAAAATGATGTCATATAGGTTGAAGATAATCAAAATATATATATCGCAATATTATTCCAGACTGTAAAATACCTAAATAATTACGATAACTAAATTTAAATATGTGGTAATACATATAGTTTTTTTAGCAAGCAAGCAACACTGCACAATTAAATTATAAAATTTTAGGCGCAACAAAAATTGAATTTTTCAACAACAAATTCCAAAACTTATTTTCTAAGTCAGTTTAAAATTCCTTACTCCTAGTTAATAATGCCGAACGGTCCTGGGTAACCAAGAGGTTATCGCGTCGAGCTACTAATTATATACAGGGTGGTCCATTAAGTCCTTTGAAATTTCAAATTTGAATAAAATTTAACGGGTGAGCGTGAGCGGCGCGGGCGAGGTGGGGGCAGTATCTTCAGTGTCTGGGAATTCAGTCGCCATGGAGTGTTTCACTGGAGCGGATCGTGCTTTTTGTGTGCGCGCGTTTTATCAAAATAATGATTTGGCAACCATTGCGTGGCGTAAATATCGAGAATACCACAATTTACACAATTTTACAAAGTGTCCAACAGCTCAAACGATTAAGAACTGGGTTGCTAAGTTCGAAGAGACTGGTTCGACGTTAGATAAACAGCGGTGGGGTCGACCAAGGACAACTCGTATTGAAGAAAACATCAACATTGTGGCACAGTCTGTTCGTCAAAATCCTACCCAGTCTACTCGTAAGCGTTCCAGTGCACTAAACGTACCCAGAACATCTTTACAGCGGATTTTAAGGAAAGATTTACGTCTGCACGCTTACAAAATTCAGTTAGTGCAGGAATTAAAAGATAATGACGCTATTCAGAGACTAAACTTTGCGAATGAAATGTTGAATCGATTTTCTTCCCTCAATAATGTGTTGTTCTCGGACGAGGCTCACTTCCATTTAAACGGGCATGTAAATAAACAAAATTGCCGTTATTGGAGCCCCGAAAATCCAAGGCGTAAGCATCAGAAGCCCTTACACAGCCAAAAGTTACAGTTTGGGCTGCTATGTCAGCGCATGGCATCGTAGGCCCTTATTTTTTTGAGGACGACAGAGGACGCACATTAACTGTTACTTCGGAGCGGTATGTAGCAATGATAGATGAGTTTTTGACACCAGCGTTGCAGAATTTTCCAGGCTATAATACGCAGACCTGGTTTCAACAGGACGGAGCAACTGCCCACACCTCCAACACTTCTATGCCCGTCGTCTGTCAACTTTTTTCCAGCAAAGTAATTTCTCGAAGAGGAGACATTTCCTGGACACCACGTAGTCCAGATTTGACCCCAATGGACTTCTTTTTATGGGGCTACCTCAAGAGTAAAGTGTACGACACCACTCCGCGATCAGTTGATGTCCTGAAAGAAAATATCCGAAGAGAAGTGGCAAGCATTACAGTGTTGACTTGCCGCGCAGTCATCGACAATTTTAGACGTCGTTTATATGAGTGCCGTGATCGTAATGGATTGCATTTAGACGATGTGATTTTTAAAACATAATTCCCATTCAATAAAGATGATAACAAAATATAATAATTCTTCATAATGTAACTAGTTTGGTTTTATTCCTTTTTTTCCAGCTCAAAGGACTTATGGGCCACCCTGTATAACAAAACTTAATTTCGTGTCTTGTATGTTGTGTTGTGTGTTGTCTATATCACGCACCAGATCGGTGCAAGATCAACAAAGGTACATCCCATCGCTGATGCTGGTTAATTCAATAATGTTACCAGTAAATGGCTTGCGTAATAGTGGGTGTCGGCAAAAAGGGTCAAAGCTGATCTACTACTAACAATGCCAAGACATACCTTCAGTCGACTCACCTCCTCCTCTTTGCTCCCTCGTCTTTTCGTGTCTTGTTTCACTGTCCATGATTTATCTCGTATCTGGGCAACTAAACCTGATACTGATAGACCTACTGATTTATAAGACTTAACCTAGCTAAGGTCTTATGGACTGATCTTACCGGCAATGACGAATGGGAATAGATCACTTGGTTTATTAGTGCACAGTTCCATAAATAAAAAAATTATATTTATATCAAATTTAATATTTTTACATCAATTAAACCACACATGCTTGAAAGATTTGTTAATGACCATCCGTCCGCCTCGTTGCTCGTTTCCAAATTACAGGTCAATATGAAATGACAAAACATATTATATTTATCTTCCAGGTTTTTGAGAGATTGCACGAAACCACCATAAATATTTTAAAATGGTACCGTACAAAGCCGGCAAAGCTTAGGTTCGTCTGGAGATAGACATTTCCTCTCACAAAATATGTCCACTCCTTCTCCGCCGTGGTGCAGGACCTGTCTGACTGTTGGGGCAACACACACTGTGTGTAGCGGTTGAACAAATAAAATGTCATGCGAAAGACAAATAGATACAAAATATATATTTTGTCATATTGATCCGTACTATTAAAAAGGCCACCAGGTGGCAAAACGTAGATTTTTAACAGCAAGAAAAAGACAAAACAAGTGTCAGACCTTACATGATTTGATCCATTTTCGAGTAGTATTTGTCTATCTATGAATACTGTCACCTTGTAGGCAGCTCATTCTTACTAATCTAAAGGTGCATTGTACGTAAACTGACCTTTACTCGTACAACATTTCTACAATATAGTCCATATACGTCGCTTGATGTTTATGCCTCACTACTCTTGGCAATATATTGCCGTTTAATATTAGCTATATGTAGCTGAAGTACCTACATACATAATAAACTATAAATCCACCACTTTGTTTTAGATGTTCGTCCGCTATCGAATAACATTTACGTGATATTGTGCAGTTTTGAAACTTTTTAGATCCATTAATTTCAACAATTTAATGGTTATCGCTACTACAAACGATTTGCTTTAGAGCCTTTTTTACATAAAAATATATTTTACGTGGTATTTATACATTTGTTGCTTCTCTGTATTCATGAAGTCCTTTTAGAGCGAACCATTTCAGCATATTGCGTGCTTGTAATAGCTTATTTCATGTATAGTGATATTTTTGTGCTAGATGAGTCTTCTGTTTCGCAGGTTGTTCATAAACGCTCAAAAGTATTCACAGGGAGTGATGTGCATAGTGGGGATAACAGAATCGACTACCGCGCACGCGGCGGACAAATATTGAATCATCATCGGACAGATTGTGGAATATAGGCGTGGTATCTTTGGTAAAATCTGTCATGTGGAGTCAACTGAGGCCTAGGCATTTATTTCACTGTCATGATTTGTCATTGCTCCTTACCTCAATTCAACAAATAGTTTGTTCGTACAGCCTGTTTGCTGACAATCAGCAAACTAATAGTCGGTGACAAGTCATGACCTAGTTTACGCAGTTAGCTGTCACTGACATGTCGCTGACTGTATTAATTGCGTACATAAGAACTTTACGAGTTGGCTGAGGATGGTAAGTCCGGTTCTGACAACTAATTCGCTGTACGAACAGGTAACATCTCTCTGATTCTGATTTTGGCAGTCACCGACAAGTTACCGAGTACTGTACGAACAAACCATAAATATAATTTTCGTTAATACCCGTTTATTTTTATATTGCACGTATCATGCCCCAATATTTCTGTCTGATATCCGCTAGGTGGGGTCATTATCGCGAACCCAGTGATAAGGTATGGTAGAACTAAGCACTTTGAGCAGAGATAACAAGAAACAATGAACAGTTGAACAGACTGGTCGACAGAAAGATTCACAGAAAATATCAAAATACGGTTGAACCTCCTATTTTGTTTAGCAGCCATACAGTAGATAGAACACAAGTTCTATAGAATAGCGTGATGTAAGAGTCAACAAGGGATTTTAAGACCCTTTTAAGTAAGTTGCATTTTCAGCAGTTCTTGTAGGTAATAAACCTGGATCGGGTGCAGAGGGAATTATGTCCTGAATGTATTTATTTCGGGAGACTTGACGCGTTATACTTTACCGTGCATTCCTCCCACCATAAAACTGAATTACAGCGAAGAGTGGAAATGAATTAGGGAGTAATGTACTATGTGTCTGTCTAATTCCATCCAATTTGTCGTCTGCTTAATTGCTAAAGTGCCTATGCCTGCGAGAAATGGCAGTAGCAACATAAATAAGTAGCTGGATGAAATAGAATTAAGTGAGATTCAATACGTCACTTACAGATTGGCTTATAGCGATAATTTTCTGCCAGAAAATGGATATTTTGTATGCAGTAGGGAGGTCAAGAATCTGCGGATAGGTTAATCAGATCAATAAACAGACATTGATTGGCTGTTGAATGAGAAAAGTATTTCTGCAGTTTGTGGCTAATCTGTTGAATTTGCCTTAATCGATCAACACAAATTATGAGTTTTGATAACCGGACAACCACTCCAACTATCGGACATATCAAATTATCCTAGGTCATTTCAATCTTTTTGCGGTTACTTAAAACTAGGGCTGCCATCACCTAAATTATCGACGCCGGACAAAAGGTTCAAAAACCATAGACATTTGGATAAAACTGGGATTTCTCCACGTACACCCTAAATTTTTTTATAATAAAAATAAGAACATCGTTATACTTTTCAAATTTACTCAATAATTTAAACTGATTTTCAACGATTAAGCAATGTTTGACAAAATCGACTTAAACCTACAGCCCAATAAATGAAATAATTAAATCATTACTGATAAAACTATACTCTTCTCTTTCTAAAGTAACCTGTTAACAAAAATAGTTAGGAACCCTCTTCTTCTTGGCAATTAATATATGAAGTTATAGGAACGGAGGTTGAGCAAGTTCGTTTCATTCTAAAAATGTAATTAGTCATAATCTACGTACCCTACTCCTCATTTGGAAATAATCATAAAATCAACATATATAGTCGTCCTAATTGTGTATAACACACAATTAGGACCACTCAACAGAAGTGTTGGGTGAGCACGTTCGTGTAACAACCTATGTGTTGTTGCAACTGCGGAGAAAGCATAGCTTCTCTTTATTGGATCTGTAAATACCTCAGTTCTCGTTTAATAGCCCAGTCACCAGGCATGTGACCGCTAGATGACTGACGATTCTGGTTGTATAGTAGATGTGGTCTATAATAATGTATTATTTAGATAGACCATACCTTCGGGATATATGATACCTAGGACGCTTGGTTCGTTGTCCCAGAGACAAGAGACCAGGCCTAAACCATGCTGAAGAGTAGCCAAGAATCACGAAACAGCTATCCATGGTTCGCAATATTTGTTTCGTTTATTAGGTAAGTGTTGCCTCTGCTGTTCGAATACGAGTCAGATATCCAAATACGTGATCGAACATTAGATACACAAGCTTAGTGACCCTATCGAATGCTCATATTTTAATGTGATAATGATTCAACATTCACCACAGATTCACATCAAAATTATCGCAATATATTGTCTGACAGCGCATCCGGTGCAAATGTGCTTGTTCTGGGAGATGCGGGTCGTTGTACCAGGGTGATGCGAATCGTTTTACAGCGGTGTACAACAAAAAAATTTTTGATGTGTGCTACATTTCAGACTTTTTAAACACCCCTTTCGGTCAGCGCCGGCACGCCTCCTAAACGAGGATGAATCCGGGGAATACTGGATGGCAGCCCTACGTATAACTGGCAAAGAGTTTACACCGTAGGTAGCCAAGCTCTTATATGGCTCATGGCCACGCATAGCATATGGTATAGACGGGAAGAAGACATCATTTATGCACAGAAACATGATATTAATTGACTATCTAAACGCTTGGCTACATACGGTGTAACCGTGAACATTGCTACATTAGTCAGAAAATGGATAAAACAATAAAAAGAAAATGTTCATCATATGTTTAATGTTATGGTGAGTTGACACAAGTCTCAGATATAATTTATACTATACTTACTTTCTGTGTCATTTTTTGGATGCAGAAGTGTTGCCGTTACCTCGTGATACACACTGTATAAGAGCCAAGATCTTTTTGCATTGATAAATGTCATCAAAACCTGCCGCATCATTTATGTGTAATTCACTCATAATTTGACATGCTTTATAGGCATGGTTAGCTAATGTAATCCAATATTTCTGCTTGCATCTCTTCCGAACTGTCAAAATTGGATTTGTTTACAGTCATGATAACAGCAACAGTGAAAGATATGCCACATGTGCAGAACCTGAAATTGATTTGCTGCGCAGTGTACCAATACGTAGTGATGTGTACGAGAGAGAAGCGCGAGAAGAGTGCAATACGTGTGTTAGAAAGAGATATAAGAACCTTGCTGCTTAGCAACCCGAGTGACACAAGGCCATCGGCGCACTCTTTCTAACGTACATATTGGACGCTTCTTGCGCTTCTCTTTCATACACATTATGACGTCAGCCAAATTTGAATCTCGCTCTATCAAGTACTCATATCCTAGTCCAAATAGAAAAATCTTTAGTGCTGCCAGAACAGTACTTGACTAGTGTCAAAATGAATAACCATCTATCATTGCGGAACCTTCACCTGAACTTGCACGCCTGACTAATCAAGCTTTCAGCCGGCTTGGCATGATTTCAGGAACAGCAGCAAAAGCACCTCTAGCGCGGCACATAGTGAGAATGAAATGGGGCTCAACCGTGCTCGAGGTGCATATTAAAATTTTAGGCAGACTTCCTAATCTGTTATTAAAATTTATGCCAAGGGGCTAGTGGTGGAATGGGAAATCCATTGACGTGCATGTGAGGAAGATTGCCCATAAATATTTTAGGTTATCATGTTATAAATATTCACATTTGCTCCAAGTTGTTTCCATTTTAACCTTTCATCAGCATCAAGGCATATACACCAAAATTTAATATTTTGCGTAGCGCAACATGTACCCTTGCAAGCAGGCAAACAACGTGGAAAGTTATTCGTTATTCGATAGTTGCACACATGAGAAATCTATTATATCAGGTAACCAAATAAGTTAGTGCGGTTTTTAGCAGAAAAATATCAATTTTTATTGAGAAACAATAAGACACTATTTATTCGTCGAAGTAATTACCATCACATTCAATGACCTTTTGCCAACGTGGAACCAATCACCATCTCGAGTTGTGAGCTGTCGGTGCCACATACAGTTGTCAAGAGTCAAAAAAGGGTGATAATCACTGGTCGAAATGTCGGGAGAATCTGGCGGGTGCGGTAACGTTTCCCAGTCGGGTTCAGAAATTTTTTCTCGGGTCACTTTTGCGGTATGAGGCTTGGCGTTATCCTGCAAGAATATCACTTTCTTCCGATTTATCAAAGAAGGCTGTTTCTGGATGAGTGCGGCTTGTACTCGTTGAAACGGCTCACAATGCAAGTTAGCAGTGATGGTTTGACCCATCTTCAAAAACTCATAAATTCCAGTTGCAGTCCACCAAACACACAACAAAACCTTGTTTGGGTGCAAGGAAGCCTAGGGCGTGTGTGGTACCGAATCAGTAGGCGACAACCAATGATACGAACGCTTAGAATTCGAATACAAGATCCATTTTTCGTCGCAGGATTAACCGATTAAGAAGTGGTTCAGTAGCGTTACGTGAAATGTTTGCTGAACAAATGGTAAGCCGACTTAATTTGTTATCATTTGTCAGTTCATGTGGGACCCATTTGCTTAATTTCCACGTCTTTCCTAGCTGATGAACATGCAAACGCATAGTTTCAGGACTCACTCTGAACATTTCTGCAAGTACTGGGCACGTTGTCCTGGAATTTGCATCCACAACCTATCGAAGATCCTATCTTATTTGGTTACCTGATGCATTTGAAAATTACATCGTATTGCGTAGACGTGTGATCTATATGTCGACCTGCCCATGAAAACAAGTAGAAAACCACGAATTTTTCAATTCAATAAAGGAAAAGGAATGCCTTGAAATTGTAAAGCTGTGGTATTATAATTATATCGTTGTCTCACAATTTGCGAAATTTGTAATTTTGATGGGTTATTAAAAGTAGATCAGATGTAGTTTTTTTATTGTTATTTCTCACGCCTACTATGAAGGAAGTATTGTAATCGCGAAAAATTCGCAATATTTTGATGCTTGTATGTTAATACACTTCATAGTTTTCCCCATACATTTGCCCTTCAAACTTAAAAAAATATTTTTAGCTGATCGGTCGCAATTGCCATGCGCCACGGGTTTGCCGATATTGCATCTTTGCTAGTGAACCCGAGAGACCTCTAAAAGCACCTATCAGATGGTATGGTGACGCAATATGCACACACGAGGTGGACACGATATTTATATATGCTTGGAGTGTAATTTCATGAGGTTACCTGATTTCGTGAAGTTTAATTATAGTAGAATATAATAGAATAATTTATATAAAAAAATAGGAAAATAATGCACAAAATCCGCAAAAGAAGGAAAGTAGATTCTAGCAGAAAATAGGATAGGTAACCCGAGCAATACATATTTCTGCTTGTTGGCTTCATCAGGCCCGAAATGAATGCACGTATGCAACCACAAAAGTGGATACACATGCTCATACATCCGGATACGGGTGTAACCCGAGGAAAAGAAGGTGAAGAGGGAGAACAAGTTGACACACGAATCCCCAACAAGGACCAACCTACACATTGTTGTATAAAATGGCTAGAAGACCTCGAATTTTCAAAGCGACATCTCACCACAACCACGGGGCCGGTTATAGCCACTTGCTGGTACTTCAAGCCCAAAGAATCTACGAAGAGAAAATGATCATGCGGAGAAAGGTATATAACAAAAAATAGGAAAATTTACACTGCCAATCTGGGATATTGAGGGTTGTAACATACGCTCTAGAGTCTTGAGGAGCAATTGCAACTTCCATTGAATTCCTTTTTAGATACAATCGAATCTTACAGGAATAGGTTTGGTTGTAGAGAGAAGCACGATGGTTTCAGTCACGATGCTTAATGAATAAAAAGGCTTATCAGCAACTTTTTTAACGTTAAGTAAAGCCAAAGTTACCTCTTTTGAGCTTTTTGTTTCATACTGAATAAAAACGCTTCTCAGCAAAATCCTTTTACGTTCAGTAATGGAAAGTTGTAAATCTGGAACCCGTCAACACGGCAAGCTTCAAAGCTCCAGAATTTAATTGGAAACCTTAGTTACGTTGAAGAGTGCTATACACCCATATTATAGACGTGACTGGAGCAGAACAGAAAACTCAAGTGGGTAAAAAGAATGAACATAATAAAAATAATGTGGCTACGCCATTGCTATGAACGCTTGTAAAGCTTAACGTGCTCGGCGTATTACTTCTATACCCCAAAACTTCTTTTCATTTTTCACTACTCTGAGGGCAGTTATTGAGTGCTTAGAGAAATTTTATGTAGCAATGTTTCCCTTAGAAAGCATGTCTCTATTTTCCTTTTTTATATAAAGTGAGAAACTCAAATCCGTACAAGCTGAAACTTTGCGGTATGATTACATCAAGCTTTCTGCATGAACAGTTTTTGCTTCCAATTTACATGTAGATCAGATTATAAGTCCAATTGGAAGGGAGGACTGGAAGCAGCTTTAAAATGTTTGCCTTTGTCTGTCTTTCAGGTGTCAGTTCTACAATTTTATCAACATATGAGGCGTAATGTCATGTGTTCGGATCAGAATCTTTAGAAGTATTTTTCGAAAGAATTTAAATAGAACTACATGGTTTCCTGAAAATTGATACTATCGTTTCCAAAAACAACGATGTTTGAAATAACTGCTGCTGAAAGCTAATGTGCGGCAAAGCAGCAACAAAAACGTAAAAAAACGATTCACTATTCAATTGATAACGAATTTCAGGTATTGCCCTGTCCAAAGCTTTGTTCATATATACTGCTTGAAGTTGTTGCCGTTCGATTTCAAAACACACGTTTGCTAACTTCTTCCTATATTTTCAACATTTGGCCCGTGCTTGCACGATATAAATAATCCTACGCAGTTCGGGATGAAAACACTCAGCACAACGATCTGGATACGCTCGCAAAATATCAATAGCATCTTGAAGACGCTCATGGTAAACTATCAATAATCATGTTATTGCTGCAGAAATATGCCTATTTTGGTTTTTAAAGTTCGGTTTATCAACACGTTAACCTACAAACCACTGTGTACGTACGATGGTGGCTCGGTGTGGCCTCTTTAGATTGTTCTGGAACCTAATATCTCGGTTATCTAACGTTTTGGTATATGTGTTACTAGGAAAATTTCCTCATTTTTCCATGAAACAAAAGTCCCAATTTTGAGAACGTCCTATATTCCAATACGTCATATTTGTATTTTTCAAGAATTTTTGATTTTTGGTGAATTTTAATTCTTTGTGAAATCATTACTCAAAGAAAACTTAGGCTCTCTTCCAGCATCATTATTCTCCAGATGCGGGGACTGAAAAACATTGTTTCTAAGAATTAAAAAATGCCAAATTAATTTTGTCTTTACGTATTCGAATATAATAGAGATGGGGACTAATAGTTTCTCAAAATGGAGGTCACGGTCGTGTAGACAGGAGCTGGAAAAAACACCTATCCGATATTAGTGATGACTCTGGTGGTGTACGTAGCAGAAATAACTTTATCTTATCTGTTGGTTCATTTTCGTATGATAATTCAAACTAGTAGCTTGAAACTGCATTTTCTTCGTACACATTTTTTTTTTCAAGATCATTGATACAGAGTGGCCTACTTCACTTGAATTGTTCAAAATGTAATTAAAAACAACGAGATAGCGTATTCGCGTTGGCAAGAGTCGAGATCGAGAGGCGTCTTTACAACGTTGAGAAATTGCAATTTTCGATCCATTCCTAAAAAAAGGTTGCATAGAATTAGTCCATCGTTCTGGGAGACGCGGTGGAATAGGACCTCCATATGCATATGCACTTTCGTGCCTTACCATGCTAACTACTATTGTTTTGAGCTGCACTGTGAGTATGCTGATTACTTACTAAAACCGCATTGTCTGCCTATTGCTACTGACATTTGAGCTTCTACTATGGGAAGTGTAACCTACACTAATGATGTTGGTTTTGAGAAGTTAACCTGCTTTGTAAACTTACACAAGTAAATAGAATATGAGATGGTAGAATCAACACTTTTCCGTCACTAACGATACACGGAAAACGACAAACAAATCAAACATCAAAAATAATTTCCTAGCAGTCAATTCCTGAAAATGAGGGAGCAAAGTAGGAACATTGATAGGAAAGTCGATCTATAGGTCACTCTTAGGAAAAAAAGTGCGAAAGTCTTGCAGTCATTCATCAGTATCGTCTCTAAATACAAAGTTAACGTTGTGATCAATCATTCAATGATATCAACCAATTAAAATTTATTTATCCTACATTACAAAGTGATTTTATTTTCCAAAAATGTTAACAATACATAGCTGTTGGAGGCCGTCCACATTATGTCTGTCTGCTTCTTCACCTAAGTCAGTTTCATTTGGCTCTCCGAAAGAAAGCAATGTTAATTTATTTGTGCCAGGTATCTCGCAGGACCACTCTTATTGTATTTGTGCGAACATCCGATGATAGTAAGGCCATCAAATCTGCCCACGTGGCTTTATAAAGCGTCCTTTATGGGTCGAAGAGGGTGCTAAGGCCGGAAAAAATCCACCTCCAGTCCTTGTGGAGGGTTGCAAGATATTGTGTTGTTCTCTACTTCGATACCCTGGCTACTAAAGGTCTAAGTCATCAGGTAAGTCTGTGATTGGTTATTCCTGTTGCTTGACTAGGAGTCCTTGCCGAGCATTTCTCAAAGTTGTTTCGATGGAAGACAACCCGGAAACCTCCCTGCAACTTTATAGGCTTTCTTCAAGCAGACCTACAGTGAATTTTACGTAGACGAGCGTTGATGTGAAATCTTGTTGACAGCCTCTTGTCAAGCTAAACTCCAAGGTATCTTATTTCTCCAAATATTGGCCTTGTCTCGTTTCCGATTATAATTAGCTTGCGGTATTTCCGCGCAAAACTGTACAGGGTACAGTCAGTCTGTTGCGCATTACACTTCAGTCCCCACTTATTGTAATAGTCTAAAAGGGTTTCACACTACGTAAGTGTACATGGCCTAGCTATAATAAAAAATGATAAAGACAAGTTACAATGGCTACACAATTCCTGTTACCGTTTTTCTCTAGGTATACGGAAATTTGATCACATAAACCATGTATACAAAGAGAATTGTAAAATGAACATGGAGAATCTCAGAAAATACCAAAGTCTATCTTTGATTCGTAAAATTTTAGTCAGTAGGAAACCAGATTATCTTCTAAATAAACTCAACAAATTTGAAAACATCAATAATTTGGCTACGAGAAATCGACAATTATTAGTTATACCTAAGCACTCTATGACTCTCTATAAAAAGAGCTTCTCTTATACTGCTGCCAAGTTATACAATAGTCTTCCATTAAAACTTCAAAATTATACTATCAACAATTTTAAAAAGAAGCTGTACATAATCACTCCCTCACCACTCTACCACCCAATCTACCTTTATAGTTTTGACATAAATTACTCACATGCTATAAATTACAATTGCAGTGTAGTTTTTTGGAAGATCCGACACATATAAGTTCCACAAAACCGAACCCATAATTGAGCCTTGTAGCACACAATTCACTAACTCTTGTGGACTGGATAAAACGTTTTAATGATATGAACAAGGGAGATGCAAATGCTACCAGAAATGTAAGGGAACACTTCCCACAGGTTAATCTATTCCCCTGCTTCCAAGAGGAGCTATCCTGGGGGATATTCTTGTTAGCAGTTGAACATAATGGTCTCTGAGAAATGTCACCCGGAGAATTCTGACAGCTGTTGACGTTTGTCAAACATGTTTGTGAAAGCATCCATTTTCGGCTAGATTAATGTAACTCTTGACCTGGCGAGCGACGCTTCCATCAGTGCCTAGGAATAAAATTATCCGAAAGGTAATAGAACCACGCCCACTGCCTATCAACGATTCTACTCCCTCATCACAAGAAATGAGTGGTGCGACAACTCTTGAGCGTATTTGCTTTGGCAATGGGCCAAAATTCTGACATTTGTAGACGCTTGTTCAACAAGTTTGTGAATTCATTTTCGGAAAAATGATATATTCCTAGTGTTCTTAATTAAGGTAACACAGTCTTTAGAGATGAGACTAATGGACTGCGGCGGAACGTGTTCCCTTTTTCTCTTGAGAATAGTCCGGGAGTGGCTCTTTTATCATTGCTGAGAACAGTTCCTCAAAAGGCCACATCGTAGACTTGACCACTTCATGAAATGATCGAATTTGGCCATATCGTTAAATCGTCAACGTTTAAAGGTTTGTTGATCTACCATTGATCATGTCATGAAAACGGGTGACCATAGAGTATTTAATAAAAACCCAAAATATGTACGACAATCATTTAGATTAAGACTAGAAACTTTAGGAAATTAGAATAAAGTAATTATATTTATATATTAAAATTTTTGAACATATCAGACACCACAAATTAAGTTATCACCTCACGTGGTCACCCTCCTCTGCTTTATTTGACGTATAACCTAAAACTGAACTAAAAATTACGATGAGTTTGACATAGATAGAACTTCACTTTTTGACGTTTTGATCGGTACTTGAGTGACCCACATAGTACTTGTTGAAGTATTTTGATCTCACTTTCTTCCTCATTTGGTAACAGGTAATTAGAATTTTCACTTGGAAAAACAGCTGTTATTAACAACTGCCTTGTTAAAATGTAAACAAAGCGCTGCCAGCGCCTTTATCAGTAATTATTCCAGATATTTTACGATTTGATCAAATATGCTTGACCATTCCATGAAGAAGCTGCGCGTTTAGTTAGAAGTGAAACGATTTGTTATCATTGATCTGGTCGACGCACATCATGGTTTGGCTAATAGATAATGGATACCTTCTGTCAGCTATTCTATGCCCTTGCCTCAAGTATTAACTTCTTGGAAGGTTCGTAAGGTCTAGAAGATGACACATCGAGCTTCGGTACAGTGGAGGCTCCTTTTCAGAGATGGATGACCTTCAAAAAACTTCAGAAGTCTTATTTTTGAAATTGTATAGGACCCTATCTGCTATGACTGGTGGGAAACATACCTAAGAATGATTTTGGAACAGTCCTTTTTTTGGAATAAGACAGGTTCTATAGTGGATACTGTTTACGCGTCAATGAACAAACTGGCAATATAGCTGTCATTCATCCGACCTTAGACGTCCAACCATGGATAGTTTTTTTCGATCCAGAGTATAAGCTATATCGAAACAAGATAATACAAAGTGCCCTCTATTACCAGAATTGACAACTACGAGAGTAAGGACAGCAGGTTTTTGTTGGAATTCTATCACAGTTCGCCGATTCTGGTGCTATAGTAGATACGGTCTACAGTGGTGACCCAATTGACAACGCGAACCACAAATACAGTTCCAATGGACAGCTTGCTGTTTTCATTCTCGCAGTGGTCAATTTTGGTAATAGATAGCACTTTGTGCTGGCTTATTTCGATAGGCATTATATTCTGTATAGAGGGTAAATGCTTAGCTTTCGTTTGTTGTCCTACCTGAGACCAAGCCTAAACCATGCTGAGGAGTTGCTAAACAGCACAAGACAGCTGTCCATGGTTGACCGTCTATGGCCGGACTAACGAAAACTATTACTAGTCATTTTACACTAACATAGATTTAAAAATGCAAACCATCAGAGAAGCAAGTAATTTCTGTTTACCGGACATATGACGATCATTTGGTTCGGAGTGCGAACTGCGGCCTGGCAAGTTGGAGATCTTGCTCGATTGTATAGTGCATGTAAAGGGGGATTTGATAAACATTTTTAATGCAGAATTTTGTTAATAAAACATAATTTTGACGTCAGGTACAACGAAAGATAACATTGTAGAAGCTTAGTCTGCATGATATCTCTGACCGGAAGCTTCTTCTTGGTCGAACAGGTGGCCTTCATTTACCAATCGCTGATTATGATCCTCGGGACCTCGGTTGGCCGCGTGGGTCAGAGTGTCGTGCTACTGATCAGCCGGCCGGCCGGGCCGCGAGTTCGAATCTCGCCTTCGCCATGGATGTTGTGTGTTTGTTTTAGGCAGCAGCGGTGGCCGCAGTAGTAGACTCTTCGGTCTCCTGATCAGTCGCCGTGTGCTGTGCGGGTTCGATTCCCGTCCCAGGAGAAATGTTTCTCTTGGCCATGGATGTTGTGATTGTCCGTAGGTGGTAGATGGTCTCTGACTGTCGAACGCGGAGGTACCACCCGGCGGTTCTCGTAGGCGGAGCCAGAATGTGTGCATGTTGCATGCACACGTGTTCCCTAGCCAGAGTCCGTGTGGCGTCCCCCCTTTCCCATGTATCCCCCATAGCCCCACGGTACCCAATGGGTGCTTAGGCCTTAGGCCTTCGTGGTAGTTGGAGTATAAAAAAAAAAAAGTTCCTAATCTGCCCATTCTACTCCTTCTTCCACCGCACTATGTAACCATTCATGAATTTAGTTACCTGGTGCAGTGGCATAGGCATAAACAGACTACATCTGTTGTGGTAATTAACAACGAGTAAAAGGACCCACAAGGACACAGTACTCGTATATGTATGGAGCACTTACATAATATGTATTGTGTACCACAAATCTGAGCTTAGCTCGTATTAGCTACACTTCCATCGCGTATGTACAGTGCGATTACATCCATGAATTATAAATAATTGAATTCGATCTGGTGTTAAAGATACCATTTATATTTTCCACCATAAATTTGTGATGGTCCCGACCTGGTGCCATTGATTTTTGCTGACCTTAATGCCGCCGAAATAAAATCCGGGGTATTTTTAGTTCAAATCCGTCGAGTTTTCAGCTGTGAGCTGTGTGTTTTGGTAGGATTCCTAGAATATATCCTATATCGTCAATTTATAAGTAGACATGATGTACCAGCTAGGCGTTTATTTCATAACTTGTCGGTTTGCTTACCCAGTAATGGCAAATCATCATGAAACTTCACTATTTTTGAGAAAAGTCCAAACTCATTAATTTTGATATAGATTTTATAATGCATAACAAAAGCTGAATCAAGAGATGACGTTAAAAAATGCTGCCTGCATATT